ACGTATGGCGGTATATGTGTTTCAAAAGTTGGTGATATATCCCACAATATACGCTGGAAATGGTATGGATATGTGGTCAGCACCGGTGTCATACCATTGATGTTGTGGGGATCCATATATATGATAGACAGCGATAGTTTGTTCGTACCAAAACACGACTTTCCTGTTACTTTCGTAATTGAGAAAGTGATGACATGCTTAACTTATATTATAATACAAATTAAATTTATTTACATAACAATTAATGGCTCCCATATTATGGCTACGTGGGTTAAACTGGGTGGAATCACCAACGTGAAGCATATTGCTATAATCCTAACGATTTATATATTTTTACTTTTAACACTAATTGTGTTTAATTATAAGCTTGCTACATCAAGTCATTATAATCTTGCATTGCTTATTTTCAATTTTGTTGGTGGTTTATATTTTATTATCGCCCAGTCCACTCTACATATTATTATGTATTGTATGTATAATACTATTAATTAGGATGATTTAATGCAATTGATTTTATTTAATTAAAATAAAATTTTAATTTACACAGGTATATCATTATCGGCAAGTGAACAAATGGAAAAATTAACAAACAAATTAATACTAAAATCTATTAGCCAGCATCATCATGATCAAATTGATATGGGCTATGTTAGAAAAGTATTCAATAATATTAACGACACAATCACTGAATTGGACAGTTTGTTTTGTCTATATATGATTAATATTCTGGAGTGTATGTCCACTATTGTCAATATTATGGTATACATATACATCGCGTCTGTCAGGAAACATAACCTGGAGTTGGAGTTAGTTTTAAGCATTATATACCCGGCCATCAAGATTGTCGCCCATTGTATGATCCATGGGATGACACAGACATCTGCGCAGACGTTCTTTAAACAATTGGACAAAATAGATGTGGTGGAGATGTCTGAGTCCCAGCACCGACACTACCTGTCCCTTAAATTACAATCCGTCAACACATATATGGGGTTCACAATCGCGGGGTTTATTCCCTATAATAGGAGTACATTACTCGCTGTAAGTAATCTAGTATTGTGTTTATAAAAATCACACAAAGTTTTTAGCGTTTGTTTAAAATTTTTTTCAACAGATATTTTGCTTTCTACTCAATTACATCGTAATACTCACACAAATGGGCAAAATATGATCTGGTTTAGACATTATTATTGTTACAAATAAAATATCTCTTAATTAAATAGTTCAAACACAACCTTTAATTATCATCATTAAATTATCATTAAAAATCATATATCAAAATATTGTAATTAAATAAAACTTGTAATATAATTTAACATAAAAAACAGGTGACGTTAAGGGAGTTATGCATAATAATTATTATTTATAATTACTACAAAATATTGGCTATTAATCGAGAGTCTATGAATTCATTAAATTATTCGGTATGCGATTAAAAATGAATTATAAATAAAGCATCCAAAACTAGTTATTTAACTAATTGTTGCGATATTGGAGAATTTCATGAGATTCAGTATGTGTACGAATCATGTAATAAGTTTCATTCTAGGAGACTTTTATTTTACCTATAAATAACTATTTGATAAGTTTGTAACTATTAACACCATTAACACCATTTTAGATTTCTAAGCAAAGTTTGAGTAAAAATGTTAACATTTTAGACATTCACTATTAAAAATAGTTATTTTAACGAATAAAACAGCATATAAAATTAATTAATTAATACTTATACAAATACAAAATATACTAAAACATTTGAAGCTCTTTGTTTAAAAGAGATAGAAATTTGATTATTTTTTAAATATTAATATAATTCTGTTTAGTGATTAAATTATGATTATATTTACGAGTTAATCGAAGGGTATAATTATTTATTACTATAATTATTTAACAAAATTCAGAAAGAACACATATTAATTATTATTATAATAAATTAGAAAAGGATTTTACCTACAACTATAGACACTATTTAACTAACTATTTGACCACTTTTTGTTAACTTTGATAATGGCTATAAATGTCATTTTTGACCACCTAGATTAGTATGCTATAATTAAAAATAATAAAAGAGAGGTAATTATTCGTAGTAGTATTTAGTCATTAAAATAATTGAATCTCAAGTATAAAAAACAAAAATAATTTCGTTTGAAATAATTGCCAATAAATTATGATCGAAATACATAAGATATTATAGTCCTGGAAAGGGTCATGAAAATGTTTTTATGTTTTTGACAAAACTCAAAAGCACATACATTTTTGTAATAGGGATTCCCATTACTGCAAAACATTTTCCTTTTGTTTTTCGTTCAATTTTTATTGACAATTCAATTTATATTCAAATGAAATTATATTTGTTTTTGTTACTGGCGATTTAATTGTTTTAATGACTAAATACTACTACTAATAATTACCTCTCTCACTCTCTTATTATTTATAATTAAAGCATTCAAGCATGTTTTATTTTACTGACTGATTAATAGGCTTTGAAATGATATACTATTTTCTATATGTTTAACATTTTAAGTCAAACTTTTCATTACATAAAGTTAGTATAAAATCTATGTTCAGACCCCTTATAATGGCATTAATAAAGTTTTATTTATATTTTTGCAGTTCAACTCATTTCGCTCGATGTCTTTGAGTGTTAACCAGTATTTTAAAGTAAGAAATATTGAATATTTTCCACGTTATCCCTATTAACTAGACACTTTTGTCCACTCGTAAACACGTTTATTAACCCAAATAGCTCATTCACATAAACAAAACCAAGTCATCAGATATCGAGATACAAGAGTGTAAACAAAATGAGCGTAAAGTCAAACCCGATTGGAGTCAACTAGTGTTTGGCCGCAGTTTTACGGACCATATGTTTGAGATCAACTGGAATCGGGACTGGGGATGGGGTACACCCGGCATCTGTCCCATACATAACCTCTCACTGCATCCATCAGCCAAAGTGCTTCATTACGCCCAAGAAGTGAGTCGAAAGTCCTATCGATTTGGTTATCACTGGATATTTCGTAACATATCTTTCTCGACAGTTATTTGAAGGCATGAAAGCTTTTCGCGGAGTCGACGACAAGATTAGGCTTTTCAGACCCGATATGAATATGAAGCGAATGCGAGCCACGGCTGAGAGGATCTGTTTGCCGGTCAGTAGTTAACACTATTAGTTTACAAAGTTTTTTTAACTCAATTAAGTGGCACTTGTATGCTGTGGTACACGAGAAGTCGATGGATGTTTTGAATTTTATAACTATTCAATCCTCCCCACGGAGGACATTCTGGTCACCCTATGTATATATAATCACACATTTCTAGCACTTCGTATCAAAAATTCTCTCATTTCTAACTCAATGTATATTTTTCAGAGGATTTCGATGGAAACGAATTGATTGAATGCATGAAAAAACTGATTAAAATAGACGCCGATTGGGTGCCCCCTTACGAGACGGGCGCCTCCCTCTACATCAGACCCACTTTCATAGGTACGGAGGCGGCGCTGGAGGTCCAGAGCGCCAACGATGCCATTCTGTACGTCATATGCGGACCGGTGGGCCCCTATTTCGCGGGTGGGGCAGTCAAACCGGTGTCCTTATTGGCCGACCCGGGCTTCGTGAGGGCCTGGCCGGGAGGGGTGGGCAACAAGAAGGTGGGCGCCAACAACGGGCCCGCAATGGCCCTGCAGGGCGTCGCCGAGAAGAAGGGCTGTCAGCAGGTGTTGTGGTTGTATGGGGCCGACGATCAGCTCACAGAAGTAGGCGCTATGAATGTGTTTGTGTTTCTGGTAAACGAGAGGGGCGAGAAAGAGTTGGTGACCCCACCGCTCAAGTCGGGTCTCATACTGCCCGGTGTGACCCACGTGTCGCTCATGGAGTTGACTGAATCGTGGGCTGAGTTTCGGGTGTCGGAGCGCGTGATAACGATGGCTGAAGTGCGACGACTGGTCAGAGAGGGCCGGATGTTAGAGATGTTTGGCGCGGGAACGGCGTGTATAGTGTGTCCGATAGGGCGCATACACTTCCAGGGCGAGGACATCGTAATCCCGACCCCACCAAATACCGGGTCACTTCAGATGCGACTATTCAAGAGTTTGCAAGACATTCAGTACGGAAAGGTAGCCCACGAGTGGGCACTAGTAGTGGACTAACACTTGCAATCACTGTATGTTTTTTGTTATAATTATATAATATTTTTTTGGTTTTTTGTTACATTTTTGTGGAGTCATTGAAATTAGCGATAATTTTTTTCCCGTCACTTATTTGTCAGTTATATGTCTCCATTGAGTATCTATTCAAATGAATCTCAACTTTAAAAATAGTTATATTTTACGTATAATTCAGTGAATTATTTAAAGGAAAACCTTACGATAACTTATAATTTTATTGTAATTTTTAAAAAGAGAGAAAATATGGTATATAATCAAATCATTTTTTGTCGACTTTACAAATGAGAGAATAAAATTCAATATATAATTGTTTGTCATTAATTATTGCATGGGTTTCATTTTATATATATTTTATTACTAAAACCCCATTATAATGATTGCTAATTCTTTTACTTTTCATAATTCATAATAAGTATGTGTTTTGCGTCTCATCATTAATTGTCAAATAATTATAATCTTAAATAATTATTTTTTGTTCGCAAACACAAAAAATCACTAAAACAAGAGTTGAGATAAATTGGCAATAAATGTGGGGTAAAATCAGAGTTAAAATTAAAACTCATACGAAAATAAATACATGAAAAACACATGGTTAAATAAATTTTTGTAAAATTAAGTATTTGTTAAAAAAAAGGAGTAAGAGATTACATAAAATTATAATTATTTTATACTCAACCTACAATTTTTAATCATTAAATATAAAGCTTTTGTTTCATAATCTGTTTTCATAATCTATTTGTGAAACAATAATTTGGGAGTTTTAATATCCTGTTTTTTATAACCTTAGTTATTTACTGTATTATCAAGTAAAAACTATTTTTTCACATTTATTGAAATTATATAAATTGTGAATTTTGACACAATTTTTATTTTATAATTAAGTTTAATTAAATTTTTCATTAAAGTTACACAATATTCATATTACAATTTATTATAACCCCATTTGGCTCCGGGTGAAAAAACAGGCCACTGTCTATACTTTGCAGAGCTCTGGTAGCTATTAATAGTCGGTAATGCCTCAAAACGGTCTAAATACTGGCCAATCACTGGATACTTAGCTATAGTTTCCGGTGTAAACAGTCTAAACCAGTCCAGCAGTTCATAGGCAAGAAAGTCCACATACGATAAGCTTGTAGTCAACCACTGTTTATCGCCCAAAAATTTAACCAGATCATTCAAATGGGGAATCAAGACACCAGTGATATACCCATCCTTAGTATCAGCCGGATCTTTATCACTAAATACAACTCCCATAAGAAATTTCATTCTAATATCCCTCAGTTGCTCGGCAACTATCTCTTGCTTTATGAGTTCCCTGTCATCCCTGGCCACCAGTCCATGCTTTCGGGCCAAGTATTTCAATATAGCCTTGGATTGACTTATCTTTACGTCACCGTCGATATAATAGGGAAGGTTAGGGAAGTCGAGCCCTAAGTTAGGTTTGTCTGACAGCCATACGTCCCGTTCCGAGTGTTTGTACAGTTTCTCCACAAAGTCCACCCCGCGTAGTACAACATCAGACGTATTGGCTGAGCCAGGCCACGGATGTCCCAATAGCCCAGTGTAGGTTTGGTTGACATTATTATTAAATATTTAACAATATTATATATTATTGATTGGTGGAAATAATAATTTTATTACAGAACTTCTAGCAAGTCTAAATTAAAATCTTATTAATTATTTGTGACTTGACTAAAGCGCAGGTACAAAATTTTAAATTTGTATAATTTATACAATATTTTTTACTAAAGTTTTATGTTTTCACTGTTTAGGTTAGTGTATTTAATTACGGTATGTAACTAGCTTATATATACTTTTTGCAAACGACCTTCATAGGTTTATCACACAATAGTAAATAGTATCTGTACTTATTTCGATAAATAAACAGATTGCAATATAATATTGCAATATTGCCAATAATAAATAATGTAGGTATTTAATGAAGGGAATAGTTATTGGTACAATATATATAAGTCCACATTTAATCCAGCAAATAGTGCAAACTACTTTAAAATAATAATATTAATTTTTCCCCTTTTATTCTTGATTTAATCATTTATGATTACAATTAATTGACTAATTTTTGTGATGTCGTCAGAGTAACCGACTAAATTTTCAAATAGTGAATATATTAGCAAAATAACTATGAATAGAAAATAGTGTACAAATAGTGAACATAAAAAAAGCTGAATTAAATTAAACTTTTATAATATTTGTTAATTTTAAAATTTATTTGGTTTTAAGTGCATATTTTTAAATAAAATACTACAATTATAATTCTAAACTTGTAAACTATTTTTACTAAATAAATATGTTCAAATACAAATTATTTTTTCACATTTAATTAAAATAATATAACTTGTGAATATTGACACATTTATTTATTTTATAATTAAGTTTAATTAAATTTTTCATTAAAGTTACACAATATTCATATTACAATTTATTATAACCCCATTTGGCTCCGGGTGAAAAAACAGGCCACTGTCTATACTTTGCAGAGCTCT